TTCATGTTAGTTGAACTTACCATAGTATGCAATGAGAACTGTGTCCTCTGTTTCATCACGCACTGAAGAATTATTAGCCCATTCCTGTGTGCAGCATATTTCATTTTTTTTTAAAATTTAACCTTTCAGTAAAATTCTTATTTATTAATAAAAGGAAGTCTTATGCCACACACTGATTAAAGAATTAAAAATCTAAATTATTTACAATTGTAAAAGTGAAAATAAAACAAATTATTGACAAATGGTGGAAGACACAAATTTTCAAGGAAATAATAAGTTATTATAAAAACATAATACTTTATAATTTATACTTTAAAAACTATTTTTTTAATGACCAACCTTAAATGTGCCATCTGCATCTTTCATGTATGACACCAGGAATATGTCCACAGGAACAAGTGCTGATGTTAGCAATGTCACTGTCAATGCAAATATTGCTGTCAAAGTCGTAGAAACCTCACTGTCATACTTGTGCATGAAATACCGGATGTAGAACCCAGAAAACAGCAATGTTAGCTGCAAAGAAATTTATAAATTATATTACCAATGTAATATTGTCATATAAGAGTGAACATTATTTTTGTTGCATCATTTTAGTTTAATGTTCCTAAATTATTTTGTTAAAAAGAAAGACTAATATAAAGTATAAACAAATTGTAATGCTCAATATAATTATTTTTCATTAAAATGCAATTGTAAAAAAATTATCAACCCACAAAACAATAAAAATAAGAAATATTGTATAACTCTTTATAATTCCAGTATTCTGATACTTCTAATTTAATCAGTTTGCAACTTACAACATAAATTTCATCCCAAAAAACATGTAAAGATTTGTTTCATCTAAAATCATGACCTAGGCTTGTAATTAAATTAACTTTAAAAATAACTGGTAGAATAAAATATTCATGGCTTTATGGTCATAATTAATGTCAGTTGTAGTACTAGATGAGGGGTTCTTAACTTGTGGTCCAAAAACTTTTTGCTCTTGTTTAGGCCAATATTGGTACATCATTCTTAATACTTTAGAATCCCTGTTTCAGTGAGTGTCAGTGAAAAAAAGTAAAAAATTCCATGAGCTGCATTTTAATGTCATTTTATTATCAAAAATTAATTCTGAGCTCTCAGTATCTTATTAGAAAGGGTCCATGGTCCTCATATGAGTGGCAAAGGGATCTGTGGCCTTCACCTGACTGGCTACAGGTCCATTGACAAACAAAAATAGGACCAAGTTATGCATGTCTATTTATGGGCCATTTGGAACATCTTTGGAGAGAACACTACAGAGGGCCTTTCCCAGAATACTACAGGAGATACATAGATGACTGCATAGGGATTACCAATATGGACATAATACAACTTGAAAGTTTTATTGACTTTATTGGATATTTTCATAATTCATCAAATTCGCTTCAACGATCCATAAAAGTACTATCAATTTTTTGGACTTACAAATTAACCTTAAAGAGAACATCATATCTACATCCATTTTCTATAAGAAAACAGATAGTCACAGTTTCTTACTATATTCATCATCCCATCCTCAATCATGCAAAAACTCCATCCCTTTTTCTCAGTTGCTGAGACTGAGAAGACTTTGTAGCAATGATGAGGATTTTTGGGAAAGGATGCTTAAATGTTGGATTTTTTCCGACGCAGGTTATATCTTGAACAAATTTTAAAAGCAGCTGTCACTCGAGTTAAAGGTATAACTAGACAGGATTCTTTTAAAGACACTCATTCTGACACTAGGGATAGGTCTAAATTTATTTTAACTTTTCATCCCCTTAACCTTAAAACTCTTTTTCTGGTTCTGGAAAAAACGCTCAATTCTTATGGCAGACGCGGTCACCAATGAGATTTTCAGAAAACCTCCTCTTTTCGCTTTCTGGAGGGACAAGAGCCTTAGGGACATGCTAGTTAGAAGCCCCCTCCCTGATATCAAAGCACATAATGGCACCAAAAGTTGCAACCGTAGCCATTGCAACACATGTCCCTATGTGATTGAATTTGATAAGATCACTTTCCCTCTGGAAATATTCAGAATAAAAGACGGCTTTACCTGCACAAGTTGCAATGTGATTTACACCATCCTTGGTAAAAAGTGCATGCAGTAAATTATACATAGGAGAGAAAGGTCGTCGCATTGGAGACCGGTTTAGAGAACACCTCTACAACATAAATAAACAGGCTCTCTGTCCGGTCTCCAAACATTTCAATAGCATTAACCATGATGGAATTTTAGACATCGCAGTTACTGGTATACTGTATACTAGTAACACATCGGATAGGATCTATATGGAGAATAAATTTATAACAAGATTTGGTACATTGACTCCATATGGGATAAACCAAATCCACAATTTTACGTAGCTGCCATGTCTTTTTCCTGTTAGAGTTTTTTACATTTTACTCTAAGTCAATTCCTTTCCATTCTTCTTTACTTTGTATTGGTCTGTTTTTTTCGCCCACTCCTATTTTGTCTCCCCATTTTTAGGTAGCATATATGTATATATATATATTATGTACATTTAATTTATACTTATTTAATTGTCTTTTTTTTGTACTGATGAAGGCATGTGCCGAAACGTATACTTTGGCATTTTGTAAAATTATTATTAAAGCTTAAATTATATTGTTATATCGACACAAATTGTTCATGTCTAATTAATCCTGTTCTAGCTGCCTGTGTGAGTGTGTCTATACCATACACTATACCTTATAATTATAACATCTTTTATTTAAATTTATTCACGTTAATGAATGATTGATGTGATGTATTTATTTGTATTAATATTATTATTGTTAATTATTATTTTTTTATTATGTAGGCCTAATGTTTATAACTTTAGTTTAACTGGGGTATCATCCTTACAGTTACAGTTGGTTAGTATGAATGATATTCAAATGATAATGATAGGCCAAACAACAATACATGTAATTAAGCCAACAACATTACAATAATACATGTAAAGCTAACAAAAAACATGATACATATAAATGTATTATTAATATTTATTTAAGGCCTAATTATTAAGGATAATATAATAAAAAATGAAGGACTGCGTTCAAGCTGTGTGAAAGAAATAGTAGAACAAGGTCTGTGGAATCTTGAATCAAAAGACAGGACAGTAATTTATGGTCCTGTCTGACTGTCTTTGGATTCAAATTCAAGCTTCCATTTCCACATACCTTTGCCATTGTTATTGTTCTGTTCTACTATTTAAATTTCAGTACCTAAATTTCAACTAATTAAATAAGATAAGGACAGTGTGACTGGTGAGCCATGGCCATGAGTATGGATAATGGGAAGCGTTATACGCAGTCGACTGCGCATAACCCTGAGGGTTATTCACAGCCGACTGCGTATAACTCTCAGGGTTATACGCAGTCGGCTAGGAATTTAGCCAATTAATCGCTTGTTTGGCAATTTTTTAAAAAAGTATTATGCGTAATTAGCCGCATGATGGGTTGTTTTGAACTAGAACTTTGGATGTGTTGAAAGAAAAATTTTAATGGAATTAATTTTACTTCATATTGAAATTGATGATAGCAATAGTATTAGTGCTATTATTAGTATTATTGCTTGCATCTTATATTATATATTATAATTATAAGTATAAGTCAAAGTCTACATTTCTTAGAGTCTAAGCCTAACGCGTTCTAATTCTAGTTATGTATTTTGATTGATTAGGTTTTTATATGTTGCTATGACCATGTGGTTGGTTTTACTGACTAATTCTGGAAATAAATTCTATTTATTTTTTAAAAAATTATATCATTTAGGATTTTTTTTTTTTTGATGATGTAAATGTAACAGTTTTCAGCTTCCATGCAAACCAATAACTGTGTGAAAGTATTACTTACAGTGCCCCCTCTACAGAACCCCTGCCCCTACAGCGATTTTTTTACTGCTACTCTCAACCCATGATTATATTTATTACTGTACCAGAGAAACATGATTTTATCTGCCACAAAATTAGTCAACAACACAAAATGTATGTTAACAACACAAACATATATTTGATAATTATAAGAATAACATTATTAACATTACATTGGTCAAGTTAATTCTTATCCTGTTTTAACATTTTTTAGCCAAAGCAAAAAAAATTATCATGGCTGTTTTTGTTTCATTCTGTATTCATGGCTTGCCATTGGCTGGAATTGAACTCAAGACCATCATCAACTTGAGGTTTGGTCAGTTTGTACCATTCGACCACCCAGTCACGCCGATAGTGAGGCACCCTTATTGATTGATGGTGTAACACAGGAAAAATATAGACCTCACGTGACTTGCCGACTGCATATAACTCTCAGGGTTATACGCAGTCGGCTGCGCATAACCACTTCGATGAATAAAAATACCAAAAATTCAAATTATTTAAGGATTGTTTGTATATTATTAGGTTTATCGCCCTAACCCCCATCCGATCATAAAACAAAAAATCTTTTTAAAAAAGTATTAAAAATGCATAAATCTGACAAATTAAATAGAAATGAATTATATTTAAAAAAAATTATTAGACAGACTATGACTACATCTAATTTTTAAATTTATCTAATTATTCCACACTCAATCATTTATTGCTTGATTCATTGATCATCTCACTAACTTTATTCCGGCTTGGCGTCTTAAAACTTTTAAAATAATCCAAACCCACCAAAATAAGAAATACAATTACAAAAATATTACCACAAGGACTACAATAAAAGGAATCCATCCTGCTGCGATAACTACTCCTGGTACCGCCATTTTGTTTGTTTGTTGTTTTTTTATTTTTATGTCATGTGATCTACTTTGAGTTGCCCATAGTTGAAGAACTTTTATTTCGAATTTTTTGGGAGTAAAATTTGAATAGTTCTAAAAGGAATATATTATTTTAAAAGTAATTAAACTTTAGAGATTTAAGAACATATATGTAATAAATAACTCAAAGTTTTAGAAATCGTCATAAAGTTTACGATAAACAGTTTTACTCCGACTATTATATATATTTCCTCAATTGAAGAGCGGTACATAAACACTCGGTTGTTGTTCTGGTTCTGGCTCTGACTCTGGTATGTTACGTTGCTGCATCCATGAACTGGCATCTTTGCAACTGTTGTCTCCGGCGTGTCCACATATTTTGCTTTACGGGCCGCTTTACGCTTTCTTACCAATAGAGAACTTTATATCTTTAAAAAGCAATAAGACAAACTATTCTTTTTGAAACAGCATCATAATGTCTTCTTATAAACTGGAGCACGAAAAATTCATCACTGGTCACAATGGTACAAACTACCTCGAGGTGACCATGGCAACTAGCATTTCCTGCTTTGCTTGTTTTGCAAGAGATTTGTTTTTGCTCTCCTCAGTCGGTAAACTTTTAAGGTTTGTGTTAAAATTAAATCACAAGTACAACCATGGATAATCCGGACATAATGATAATGTCTTAAATTATAACAATAATTGGCTGTTTCAGATTGAGCGGCCCACGACGACTTTGTTTTGGATTCACTCCCCTTATTTTTTTATATTTTTTGTTAAAGAGGTTAGTTTTTTAATGGAATGCGGGATAAATTAAGAGAAAGTGGCCCGAGTCTATTTCCATGGCCGCCATCTTGGTTGCCTCGACCCGCGCACTTTTACGTGTTCACTGGTCGAGGCAACAAAGATGGCGGCCATGGAAAAATAAAATAATTCACATTTGCTAAAATTTGGAAGAAAAATTTTAAAATGTATGAAAAAATTGTCTGAAATTGATCCCCATGCCTAACCTGAACCCTAAATCTATCCCTATCCCTAACCCTAAATCTATCCCTATGCCTAACCCTAACCCTAAATCGATCCCTATGCCTAACCCTAACCCTAAATCGATCCCTATGCCTAACCCTAACCCTAAATCTATCCCTATGCCTAACCCTAACCCTTAATCTATCCCTATGCCTAACCCTAACCCTAAATCGATCCCTATGCCTAACCCTAAACCTAAATCGATCCCTAAGCATAACCTGAACCCTAAAAACTAGCAGTAAATCCACAAGTTGTCAAAACACGTGGAATTTCACACTTTCGCAAGAAAACGATAAAAATTAACAAAAAACAATAAAAAAGGGCCCCAAATAATTCTAAACTGAAGTAATAATGAAAATCCAACTTACAGTTTCATAAAATACACTTTTACACACTTTATTTCAGGTTCCAAGGAAAATATAGCCACAAAATGAATAAATCTCCACACCCCACAGGCACCCCAAAGATATCAAATATGGTGGAACAACCGAAATATGATAATCAGCCAACCAATGAAAATTTTACAATTATAATTAATCAACCAATAAAATGTTAATTCCAAAAATGTAACTCTTTTTAAAAAAATACGAAAAAAAATTATGCATTCTCCAAATCTAAACAAAGGGCAATAAAAATGCCTAAATCTCCTCGGGCCGGATTCTCTTAAATAGCCGGAATGCGGAATTCTTCTAAACACCTAACAATGTAAATTATTAAATAAATGAAATAATAGAATTATAGTTCATCCAGTAGAGCAGTCAATTTGGCTTTGGCATTTTAAAAAGTACTAAAAACGAAGGGTCTACATGTCCGACGACTGTACAAATAATTCTCAAGATATTCGTCCGGCGCCCAGGTCACATGACCGCCATAACAAAGTTAGGCGAGATATCTGTCCGTCAGCCTTGCCACGTCATCGCTAATAGTCTCTCATAAAACTGGCTTAGGAGATGTGTGTGGTATGGGGGGGGGGGGTGGGGGGGAAAGGAAGCAATGCATACTAGAAGGGAGAAATACTGAGAGCGAGAGAGAAAGGATAAAAATGTTAGTGAGGGTGCTAAATAATTAAGGCGGGGAGGTCGAAAGTTCCCAAATAGAAATAGACCCTATATCTTAATATAGGGCCAATGTAGTATGCTGTTGGGGTAGACTACTTCTCACGTAATATCAATAGCCTATTTCTATATTCCCTATAAATAGTTTTGGGATTGTTTAAAAGTAGGAAGATTTTAGATAGGTGATTTTATTTTTAAAAAATACATTTTTCAAACATCCAAACCTACAATGTATAATATTTATACTCAAGTCATAATCTAGGTTGGGATTTGCATCGTATAAATTGAGTGGCATGGCAGCTAACATCACTAACATCCAAACTAAAATTTTAATATTCCTCAATATGGCACACCATTTGTTTGATAAATATAAATTAAAATATGACTATTTATAATGCTATCAAACTCATGGCTCAGTATCTAAGATACTCAAATATTTTAAAATTAATTAAAAATAATTTACCTTTATTAGGTTTCTTAGCAATATAAATTATAAGAATATAAAATAGAAATTAAAAAGTTAATCTCCTTATATTATTAAATATCTAATAATCATAAAGTGAATACTTTTAATTTCAGGCCAAGAATTCTGTCGGAGTTTCTGTTGTTGATTCTGCCAAACATTATCAGTGTAACAATTTTTTGTGACTTCATAGAATTATTTGCCTTTTTAATTTTGTTCATCTGTACAGTTTACTGTATGTATCTAAAACAGACTCATAAAGTTGTTCCATCCACATTATATGTGACAAATTTGGATAATAGAAAAGCATTCATAACATACTTCAGATCAATCATCAATGTTTGCACAGCCGTGGCAATACTGGCTGTTGATTTCCCAGTGTTTCCGAGGAAGCTAGCTAAAACAGAGACATATGGTTTTGGAGGAATGGACATAGGTGTAGGATTATTTGTTGTTGCAAATGCCATTGTTAGTCCAGAGACTAAAAATAGAGATGTAAAAATACCTGCCTATTCTCATTTGAAAAAGGCTGTATTTTCATGCATTCCTCTGCTGATACTTGGGGTTGCTAGACTTTTAGCTGTTAAAGGTACTGATTATCATGAACATGTTACAGAATATGGTGTGCACTGGAACTTTTTTTTCACGCTTGTGGCCCTTAAGGTAAGTTGATTTTTTAAAAGAGACTATTCACTTATTCAGAAATTTAATATCCTGGACAAAAGTTATCCTTTAAGTTTTGATGAAATGCATTTATCTTGATAATTGAAGACTTTTTCCAGTTTAATAAATTTCTGTACCTTTTATAGTAAAGATGCTATTTATAATTATAGCACAACTGCAACATTCTGTAAAAGTTTAAAACTATAAGTAAAAAACTATTGTTTGAACTCAAATAAAGAAAAATTAGATCCATTTCATAAGAGCTAAATTTAAACTTGCTAATCAAAAGCTTAAGTTTCTTTGATTTAATAACCATGTGTAGCAAAACTTATAATGTATTTTTATCTTTTTAAAAGTAAAATTATAAATATAATTGATTGGTTTTTAAATTGTAAATAAAACACACCAAATTTTGTATTTTTAACATTTAATAAGTTTTACTTATTTTTCATTTAAAAAAAGTGCTTTTATCAATTTGTAAAGAAATAGCAACTAATGTTTAAAAATACTTTTTAATAAGGAAAGGCTTTTTAACTTTTTAAGTCAATATGTTGATGAATTTATTAATTTGTATTAAAATCTCTGGTGGAGGGGGATTCAATACTCATTTTGTCCCAGGCAGCACAAGATACGCCTGAGAATAAAGGAATGACTTTGATAAATAATTAACCTTCTTAGGTACATATATCAGGGGTAAATTTTTTACATGGATGACAATATCTTTAAATCCATAATAATACTTACTTACTTATGCCTTTGTACCCAGTCTGGGGCATAGGCCATCCACAAGAATTCTCCACTCATCACGGTCCTGTGCTTTCCTTTCCAATTGTTTCCAGGTATTTTGTGTTTCTGCCTCTAGCTCACGTCTCCATGTATTCTTAGGCCTTCCTCTCTTTCTTTTTCCCTGTGAGTTCCATGTTAGGCATTGTCTGGTGATACTATCTGGGGGTTTTCAGAGCGTATGCCCTATCCATCTTCATCTTTTCTTTATGATATCTTCATCAATGGGCACAACCTGGTATGTCCTTTCTAGTAGATCTTTCTTGGTGATGGTATTTGGCCATTGGATGTTCAGGATTTTTCAAAGGCATGTGTTTATGAATGTCTGCACTTTCTGAATAAGGCTCGCGGTTGTTTTCCAAGTTTCTGCTCCATATAGTAGAACTGTTTTAACATTTGTATTAAAGATTCTAACTTTGGTTTGCAGTTTCAGCTTCTTTGATTCCCATATTTTCTTTAATAGCACAAATGCAGATCTAGCTTTTCCAATTCTAGCCCTTACACCCGCATCTGATCCGCCATTTGTGTCTATGGTGCTGCGTAAGTATGTGAAGGACTCCACTTCTTCCAGTGCCTTTCCTGAGTCCATCCAACCAAAAGTAAACTCATCCTCATCCATAATATTACAGTCATGAAAAAGAGGTGTTACATTCTCGTTTTACAAATAAATATATGTTTACCAATTAAGAAAATATAGTTCAACGTGATTACATTTAAATAAGTATACCCATATCTCAAATAAAAATATCAAAACCCAATCATTTTACACACATGAAAAGTTAATCTTACAAGCAGAGCCATATTTTTTTTCTTTAATATTTCATTGGCATGAACAAAGATGGGTTAAGATTTCCTTTAAAAAAAATTAAATATATTTTTGTTTTTACTTTGCGAAAAGTAAAGTGGGTGTATATTTTTATGAGATTAATAACATTTCTTTTTTAAAAAAAACACTCAAGGCTTTTACCGACGGGAAAAATGGTTGAGGGATCTTTCTTTATATCAAAGAATTCTTTGTTTTACGATTTTCCGATAAATAGTAAAAAAACAAGGCAAAAGTTTAGTTACATTTTTAATGAAGATAACAAATTCCGTTAATAATATATATATTTTAAATGTTATGTAGATTTTTCGTTGTAAATTTAAGGTCATGTTTTACAATTTTTAGAGAAAAAAAATTGTAGTTCAGGGGCGCAAAAAGGGTAGTGTAGTTGGATATTATATAGCAGATAGATATTTCTCAAAACTAAATGAGGTTAGAAACGTAAACATCATTTCATATATAATTGTTTTGTTTTTAAAAAAAAGGAATTCTGATGAGTTTTTGCAATAGCAGGTAGAAAATACCACAAAATGCATGCCATTAATATCCCGGTTCCATCGGGTCATATATTATAGTTTATAATAGATGATGAAGATTGGATCAATTATTTTGTAAGCCACATGCGCTCTAATCTGACTCCCTCATCTCATTGACTGTCTCATAAAAATAATTAAATAAAGACTAAAATTAAATCTACACTTCTGTGTTAGTAGCAGCTTAAACACTTGAAATACATCTCTTACTATTTGTGAATGTTTAATTGATGATAACACGATATAGTAGTTTTTTTCTTTTACACCACAGTTATCCCTGAGCATATTGTATTGTATCATCCCTGTGAACAAGTCAGGGTCAGTGGCAACATTTATACTAATCTTACACCAAAGTCTCCTGTCAAGTGGTCTCTCATCTTACATTTTAAATGGTTCAGATGGAAAGGGTGGAAGAAATGGATTGCTCGATGCCAATAGGGAAGGCATCTTTTCACTGCCGGGCTATATTTCTATTTACATGTTTGGTGTACAACTTGGAGCTTTTCTATTTCAAGAGAGGTATTTTGACAAGATATCATTGTTATAATTTGTCATTGTATTTATGCTAGTTATTTTCATCGCCCTTTGCTTTTTTTTAGTCATATTACCGTAACAACTCTGAAGTTTTGGAAGACATTGAATTTATAATTTTTGGAAAATTGTGTTTTTAAAAAAGTATTTTTTATATTGTTTAATTTCGTACTTTTTAAGTCAAAGTGTACAAAGTTTCAGCTCAAATGGAGATCAGGAAATGGGTAAATTTTAAGATGCAAGATATGTCCTGCAGAGGTCACTCAAAGGTCAGTGGATGTCACTAGTGACCTACTGATCATGAAGTGGTGTATTGTATTTTTGTTAAGATAGCTAAATGAGAAAGTGGAATTTTAATTAGCTGATGAGCACTTATCAGCTTTACATTAAAAATCACATAATAATTTTAATGGTTTGCTTTCTTCCCAGATTTTTCATTGAGTAGCAGGGTCAAATACATTTTTAAACAAAAACTTCTATAAATTAATTGAATCTTTTTTTTTTTTTACTTAGAAAAAATCTAAAAGAGTGGTGGACAGCAGCTAAGAAGTTGTCATATAAATTCATATTGTTCACCCTTGGCATGTCCATTGGTCATTTAAAAATAGAACCTGTTTCAAGAAGACTTGCCAATGCATCATTTGTATTGTGGGTGGTAAGTTATTTTTTTATCATACAGTGTGAGTCTTGACCTCAAAATAATTTGCAGATGGCTCATTAATTACATGAAAACATAATTAAATAATTCATAACAATGGTTGCAGTGCTTCAAAATAATGTACCCCACTCTGTTTATACCAGTAAAAGTGATTTTGTAACTTAATTTATTTGATGGGTAACAGGTTTAACTGGCAACATTCATGCTGAAGGCAGAGTTAATATCTTTAAATCCATGGCAACATTCATTTCCTTAATATCTGACCAAAATAATTTGCTATGTTCTTTGATTGCTGTTGTATTATTTATAGACTTCAATATGTTTTAACCTCAATATGTTTCAACCTCTCAGATGAGTCTCAGCTACTTTATGATTCTGGAATGCTTGGTTGGAGAAATTATCATAACGTGCATCAAGGCTCAAATTAAAATTAACATGACGTCAAAAATCAAAGATACCATGAAAAAAGAGGCTCAACATTCTCTTGTTCAGACTACTGCTAAGTTGCAAAGAAATGTCCAATGGAAAGATGATTCCAATAAACTCCATTCAGAGGTTTGCACAAACAAACCTGACTTCGATGTGTGTACCATGAATGCAGTAAGTTTCAACTCACTGTTGTTCTTCCTACTTGCCAATGTCATGACTGGTTTAGTTAACATGAACATATCAACACTGCAAACTTCAGATTTTAGTGCTGTGGCTATTCTTGTTGTTTATATGTTTTTATTGTGTCTCGTAGCCGTAAGTTTAAAAGCAAAAAATATATCCACTAAAATATGGTAATTTTCTTAATACCCAATAAAACATTTGAATTAAGTTTAAGTGATTGCTTTACTATTCCATTGATATTTAAATGCAATTAAGAATAAATAAATTAAAAAATCTTTGAAAAAAAGAATTTTTAAAAAAGTTTTTAAAGTCATGTTTAAACACACTTAAAATTCACTACAAAATGAAATATGTGTAGAAGGATAAAAAGGCACCATGTGAATCCAAAGAAAGTATGTGTAGAACGATAGAAAGGCACCATGTGAAGCCAAGGATAGAAAGGCACCATGTGAAGCCAAAGGAAGAATGTGTAGAATGATAGAAAGGCACCATGTGAATCCAAAGGAAGTATGTGTAGAAGGATAGAAAGGCACCATGTGAAGCCAAAGGAAGAATGTGTAGAATGATAGAAAGGCACCATGTGAATCCAAAGGAAGTATGTGTAGAAGGATAGAAAGGCACCATGTGAAGCCAAGGAATTCCAATTATATGTAGAAGAAACTTAAATGGTTTTTTTCTCCCCTTAAAATTGTAAAAATATATATTCTGCCAACAATTATATTTAATTACATTTATTAGGAAGCTAAAAATATGAATATTTCAGTTGATCTATCCCATGATGCCATTGACATATTTTTAAGAAAAGGATTTGAAATAATTGTTAATGCCTTTGACAATAAATGTAAAGTTTGTTTTCTTTCTGGACTGTCAAATCTTTACTTAAGGAGAAAAAGATTTTTGTAAACTACTGTATCTCAATAATATTTTTGGAGTCACCAATGAGAAATAAAAGTGACTAATGTTAATCAAGAAATGCAGCTTTTCTTTTTTTATGAAATGATTAAAAAAAACAACTTGAAATTATAAAATAATATATTTTTAATTGGTCATGTAACATGTAACAATTATAATTTGTATATCCAAGGTCCCCAAATTATGGCCAGCCTTAAGTACGATAGCTGAATGTAGCAGCCATTATGGACAGTTACAAAATAGCTTAGATTCTCAAAGGCTCTCATAATATTGATTATTCCACATTGCTGCCTTTTTATGAAGTAGTACAATGTGCCCTTTTATGTGTGGGCATTCCGCACAATTAGGATGGGGACCTCTGATTTAAGTAATTAAATACATGATTTGAAAAAAACTTCTTTGTTGAATCACCATCTTATGTTCAACAACATGTACCTGAAGTTTTAGTTTAGGGGACAGAATTCTGAATTGAAGTAATTCTTGAAAAATTGTGTGCATTCATTCTTACTTAATAGGTACAAAGTGTAAACAACATATATACCGTGTAAGGCACAGTGAATTCTGCTAACATGAAACTTAACCTAATAAAAATATTTTTATTTAACTATCTCATAAGCTTATTGTCAAGATGTAGCATGAAAACAAAGGTTCTCAACCCAAACATTTTTTTACAAAATTTACTGGAGCAATCAAACTTAAGTCATTATGGGCATATCATTGAATTTGTTTTTCAGGTGCCAGTAAAAATACAACAACATTAAGTAAAATGTGTTCACTCCAAATAATTAAGTAAATATGAAATAAATAACTATAACATTCCAAAATCATAAAATAAATCTTTTTAAATCACAAGAGGATAGAATTTCTTATCACAGGCATTTATAGTTAATTTTTAAGCTAATAATTGTAAGCTGTCTGAACTCATTGCCTCACAAGATAAAAGGATATATTACTTATCACAGGAATTAGCATTGAATTTTTAGGTTAATATTTGTAAAAAGTCTTACTCAAAGCTTAACCAGTTTTTTCTCTGTATTAAATTTAATGGCATGAAAATTTAAGGGTGTTGACAGAAAATGACAACAAAAAAAAGAGATCTTTAGTTATGGCCTTGACTTTGGTATCAATGGAAAACAAAAGGAAAATTAACATGAAGCATTTGTTTGTTGACAGTGAAATACCGGTTCTATTATTAATATAAATCATCATTATTCACTGAATAAATGATTTAAAAAAGGGGTTGATAACTCATAGTTTTCTTTCACTACAAGTATTTACAGATTTGTATTAAGCACAGTAATAGTAAGGATTGACTGAAATCAAAACAAAATAGAGACTTAGTATCACCAAGCTAATTCATCAACATTCTGTAATGAGCTAGTTTTGAAAGCCGATACATCTTGCCAAAGTATGCAATGTGTAAATTTATTGAAATTGTTTCAAAATTATTGATAGTCTATCGTTATAGACCTGAAACAATAATATATTAACCAGTGAAATCTTGCAGAAACATGTAACTTCTCACTATAATTTAGACTTCCTCATTTTCCCCATGAGTTTCTCTAATTTCATTGCAGCTTTCATGTCACCTTTGATTTTGAGCTTTCCAGTCATGAATGAAGTTGTTGGACTTGCCTTGCCAGCAAACATATCAAGGAATAACTGGCTTTCTAGGGTCATAGTGCAGTCCGGTTGTTCCATTCCACCCTGACCAATTGAACCAGTTCCTGATTTAAGATCAAGATACCAGGTTCCTGGTTCAGTACCTGTCAAATAAGATTAAAATTAATGATGAGAAAAAAGAGAAATCATAAAAACGGTAAAAATATTATATTAGGAATTCAATGTAGTTTTAGTTGACACATTTTTAAAAATCTCAAGCAAACGCGAGATAAATCTTCACACTAAACTAAACAAATGGAGAATATTATGAGGTGTAAGTGATATGGTTTACTCCCTTCAGACATTTTTAGGTCCTTGCAACTTTCCATATTTACAAGGCTGATTCTTATTAACACAGTGTAGGTACAAAAAGATAATTTCAACATTTATGGAAGCCTGCATAAAATATTTCTTTATGAGTGTTTTGAAAGAAATTGTAAAAAATTGGGTTAGATACCTTTGCTTAGACACATGTGCTTAGATACCTGTGCTTAGCTTCCTGTGCTTAGATACCTTTGCTTAGACACCTGTGCTTATATAGCTGTGCTTAGACACATGTGCTTAGACACCTGTGCTAAGTTAGATACCTGTGCTTATTTATGATCTTGAAAGACTTTCCCAAAAATGTTTCCGGGTAGTGGGAGGCAGAAAAGGTTTCAGAAAATATCAATGGGAGCCTTAAGTACTCAATTAATTTCCTAACGATCCCTGCAGATATAAATTTGTGCAGACACTAACCTGATAGCTCAAATTGATAGCTTGCTTTCATATCCTTCACCAAATCCTCAGTTAACAGTCCTCCCATTCGATTAAAAGTTTGCTGAACACCAGAAACGGATTCGCCTTCTTGTTGTTTAGAAGCAGGACTTCCTTTCAACTTTTCTTGGAGCTCATTAGGCCCTACATCCAAGAAGAAATCTGGCAGCAATGCACTTCCTGAATAAAGTCAAGATCAATACATGTTATTTTTGGTTGATTGTTTATAAGGAATGACATCATATCCATCGATCTATCCTGGATTTAACCTGATCCATTATAACTAGCTATCCAGTATCAAGGTCAGTTAGCTACCCAGTAACTAGGTCAGTTATTTTAAGAGAGTCATCTCACCTGGCACACAAGAATACTGTTCCAAATCTGTTATACCAACTGACTTTAGGACTTCATCATCCACACAGAAATTTCCAGTAAACTGGCGACTGTCACGAGTAAGGATGACATAGGCAGCATCACTAATGATGTCCACAGTCCGGCACTGCTGCTTGGTTTCACTGCCCCCAATCATTTCCATGGCAGCAGTCCAAATGGCTGAGTTAAGCAAAATAAAATATTTTAATTTCATCACCATAGGAATGTTTCTATTTTAAAAACTACTAAATTCTCAGCCTGATCGAAATATAGAAATAGAGATTAACTTTAATATTTATAAGTTAGTTAAAGAAAAAAAAAAAAAAACTTTTTGATAGGGTCACTAGTGTTTGAAATAAAGTTACAAGAAACCCTAATTACCAGGGTGTTTGGTGTGACAATGGTAGGCACCACAGATTGGTGTGACAAGGGTAGGCATCACAGATTGGTTTGACAAAGCTAAGCACCACAGATTAATATGACAAGGCTGGGCATCACAGATTAAAAATTAATGTGACAAAGCTAAGCATCATAGATTGGTGTGACAAGGCTAGACTCCAAAGATTAGTGTGACAAGGCTGGGCATCACAGATTAAAAATTAACATGACAAGGCTCAGCATCATAGATTGGTGTGACAAGGCTAGGCTCCACAGATTAGTGTGACAAGGCTGGGCATCACAGATTAAAAATTAATGTGACAAGGCTCAGCATCATAGATTGGTGTGACAAGGCTAGGCTCCACAGATTAGTGTGACAAGGCTAGGCATCACATAGGTGTGATAAGGCTAGGCACCACAGATTGGTATGACAAGGCTAGACTCCACTGATTAGTGTGACAAGGCTAGGCATCACATAGGTGTGATAAGGCTAGCCATCCCAGATTGGTGTGACAAGGCTAGACTCCACTGATTAGTGTGACAAGGCTAGGCATCACATAGGTGTGATAAGGCTAGCCATCCCAGATTGGTGTGACAAAGCTAGGTATTACAGATTCGGATAAATGAGTAGGGGCAAAAGGCGAGATAAGAGGCAACAATAAATTGCATTTTGTACCTTGCCAACATTGGATTGTGTATAGTTGGTCCAGTAAAGATTTAGTGATTGCAATTCAAGGTGTCGTAGGCATCATGACTAAAAATGATGCTTCCTTGGGAGGAAATGTAAGGTTAACGACAGCACTGCATTTGCTTACTAAAACAAATTTTCTGGTATTTCAGCAAATGAGAAGAAACCTGTCACAGTGTTAAATTATCACCCTTCCTTTGTATATCATAAAATTCTGTGTCATAACTTAAAATAAAAGTAGATATAATTATAGTTTCTATGAATTTTACCTGTTCTGGGCCAGAGTGCATTGACAGCCACACCTTCTTTACGGAACTCTTCTGCCATACCCAGGACACACATAGACATTCCATATTTTGCCATTGTGTAAGCTAAAAATAATACTTCTCCTTAGTTTATTGCACTTACTACATAAATGTAACAATTGTTATACAACCATTAAGAGCATCTGTAATGCATTAAAATTTAAAAAAAAGTGAACCCTTCCAAACAAATGTTCCTTCTGAATTTAATTAAACAAACAATGAAAAGAGAAAGGTTTCTTTGTTATTTACATTTTTATTTGCTGAGATTTCCAGCTGAGTTGTAAAGTACTTTCTTTAAGTTGTTGATTTTAATTTGTTATAAAAGCTGAACCATTTGTAACAGTAAGAGTGACTGACATACCAGTAGTGTTATCACAGACCTGTTTACCCTCAAACTCTTAAAATTGTAAAATATCATCACAAAATCGTTCAATACATTATCTTAATAGTAAAAAAAATAAACATACACTATATATTATTATACACCTCAAAATCGTACATTGTACGCCAAAATCGTAAGTAAACAGGTCTGTTATCACATGCACCTACTGAACTTAGTGATTTCATTGTCCTGTATTGTTGCCCTGTTGTCTGACTGGACATATTAAGTTGTTTTCAGGAATGTCTAAGCTTAAATGTATGAATATTAGTTGGATAACTGGAGTGAGTGGTTATGTTATGCTGGGTATAAAGAAGTATGTACAACAGATAATGAAGTCAGTTGTTGCACAGACCACAACCTCAAGTGTTCATATATTATTATCCTGTTCCACATGGATAATGTTACATAGTAATGACCTAAGACTAAAAAATTATTTTATAACTTACCGACATGATTTTTGAACCAGACAGGTGACATGTTTAACGGGGGACTTAAATTAAGTATGTGAGGGTTCTGGCCTTTCAACAAGTGTGGCAAACATGCCTGAGAACTGAAACATTTAGAATAAAACTACATCTAATTAAAGACTAAACAATATTTATCAAACAACATTTATATTAAAAAAACATTTAATGATTTCACAATAAGGGCTGACATTTAAATATTTGCTTTTGGAGTTATGAAAATAAAAATAATTATTGCTTCTACTTTTAATAGTTTTTTTTCTTTTAATAGTTTTTTCTGTGTATGTTTTTAAAGATTTCTGTTAAATAACAAAATATAATTTTTAAAAAGTATGAAGGAAACAGAAACAAACCATAAGTATGTGCCTCTAGCATTTATTCCATTCATCAAGTCGTATTTCTTCATGGACGTTGCTAACGTTGGTGTGAGGGAAATGGCACTGGCATTGTTTATGAGGATGTCAATGCCACCAAACTTAGACACAGTTTGTCTGACTGCCTCCTGAACTTGTTCTTCATTTCTGATATCAACAATGCACGGAAATGCTTTTCCTCCTGCTTGATTGACTATAGGAAATCAAGTCAAACAGTGTCTTATAGATTACCGGGTATTGAAATAACATGATGTCATTTATTCTTAATTTTATTGAAATAAAAAAACACTTGAATTTTTTTTTATTTATGAAACATTATTTCGGTATATTTATTACATACGTTAAAGATTAATAAATATCAGTCGTTTCCCCCTCCCTCCCCCACATCATTAGGATTCAAGAAGATTGCTAGCAGTTCCTAATCTTGTGATCTTCCAATTATTTCTAATTTATAATACAAATGTGAAGTAAGAAATAGCAAGGATAATTCCAATTTAGTTAAGCTAAAAAATTTAATCCTTTTCAAATATTAGATTATGATGTGAATGGGGTTAGTGGCCATGAGTGTTTCGAGTTTGTCAAGACCTCTGAGGTGTCACATTTGATGAGTGATACCTTCTTCTGCTGCTGTATAAATAGTGCCTGGAAGCTTGGGGTGAGGCTCTGCTGTCTTTGCTGCAATGACTACGTTGGCTCCATCTTTAGCAACTTTGAGAGCTATAGCTTTCCCGATGCCTCTGCTGGCACCTGTAATGAAGACAGTTCTGCCTGCAAGCTTTCTGATAGAAAGAACAAATAGACAATATGCATACAAGGGATTTCTGGGTCAGACTCATCATTATAGTCAAGTTGAATAAGATATGCAAGTGCTCCCAAAAAAGACTGTGACTGAAGCAAATTATTTATTGCTCCAGCTTCTTTATCCCTTGAGTCCTCACCAGAAGCAAGCGCTGTAGCATTATCAGATGGTTGTATCACTAGAGCACTTGCTTCAATAGTGTCATCTGTCTCTACTAACAGTAACACTAAAGTGATTTCATGTAAATTTAGAGGTAAGGGCATCTTGAAAATTGTAAAAGATTTTCAACTCTAAAAAATACTATTAGTAATTATTCCAACAGGTAAAGGATTTGCCTAGTGTTCCAAAAATGGAACATCCAACATTTGAAACCCATAACTGTACACCAATTATTAATAAGAATTTTATTTTTATAGTATAACATGAGCGAAGTGGCTATTCGGACCAGGGTCCAAGAAGTGAGAGGTTGGGAGTAACATTAAAAAAAAAAAAAAATTATTGTTATGTCGTAAGACAAAATTTGGTATCAAATGAAAGATAATTGAATGGACTATAATATATTCGTAAACTTACTTCTTCAGTTTAACTAAAATAAACTACCACAAATGACATCCAAATAGCATTGAGTCTAAAGGGACCCGGGTCCAAATAGCGGCACTGCGTGGCCGGGTCCATTTTGACTAAATGCTATTTGTATGTCATTTGTTGTAGTTTATTTTAGATAAACTGAATAAGTAAGTTAATAAAAACATAGTCCATTCAATTATCTTTCATTTGATACCTAATTTTGTCTTACAAACCCTATAATAATTTTTTAATATTTTAAAAAAAACCTAAACTCTCACTTCTCGGGCAGGGGTCCGAATAGCCGCAGCCTAACATGAGTAGTAAATAAATTATTTAAAAAAAAAACAATAGTGAAAGATGTGGGACAGTAAAACTCTGCGTCCATTGTGATAATATGGACCCTCTTGAAGAAGATGGATGTGGAAAACTCAGATCTCCATGAGCAGTAGAAAATAAATGACTCATACATGTCCATCCATCCATCACTGTGGTGTTACAGCCCATGTAGGGCTTTGGCCGGACTCACCACATCCTTCCACTCAGACCTAACTTGATGCTTTTATTTTCCATGCTTGGATTCCCACATCATCCATCCATCTAAGCCTAGGTCTGCCTTTGAGCCATTTTCCTCTGGGGTTTAGGTGGTGTACCCTTTTCACTCCTCTGTCTTTTGGCCGTCTTTCTAGATGTCCAGCCCAATATGTATGCTTCTTATAACTCTCTCCAATGTTAGGTTAAATAGCATACAAGACAGTGATTCTCCTAGTCTTAGGCCTCATCTAATCTGAAATTCCCTTGAATATTCACCCTGAACCTTGCTTTTGCCTTTTGAGTTGTTTAAATGTTATATTTATATGTATCAGTCTTGTCAGTTTGTTTGGTATGACTAACTCCTGCAGAATCTCATATGATATTTTCTTTTGATGCTGTGATAGGCCATTTTACAGTCTACATAGAGTTGATGTGCTGGGCTATTATATTCATATTTCTCTAATAGACATCTGATAGTGAAAATCTGATCAGTCATTGATCTGTTTTGTCTGAATCCACATTGGTAATCACCTAGTATTTCTTCAGTGTAAGTGTAAGGTTGTTGTCTTTTGGCAATAAGCTTCGTCACTATTTTGTATGTAGCATTTAATAGGGACATTCCTCTGTAGTTTGTGCACTGAAGTTTGGAGCCTTTCTTGTGTATTAGGCTTATTAATGCTGTTTCCCTTTCTGTTGGAATTTTCTCTTCTTGCCAAATTTTAGTTATAAGTTTATATATCTGAGTGTGTAGTTCTTTTCCTCCATATTTAATCAGTTCTGCTGTGATGAGGTCTTCTCCAGTGGCTTTATGGTTGTTCATAGAATTGATTACTTCTGTAGTTTCTTCCAACGTTGGGAGTTTACCAAAGGGTCTGGTCCTCCATGTGGTGCTTGACAATCTTGTCCATTGTCTGCATTTAGTATTCTCTCAAAATATTCAGCCATCTCTACAGTAATTTACAATTTTCCGTAAGTAATTTTCCATCATTGCTCTCACACCTTTGAGGTCTGGCTTGGTATCCTTTCTTTTCGTTTTTTATCTTCATTATCTTGATTTCCCTCTCTTGATAAATCTTCTATTACTTTAATTTAGTTTTTGCCCATTCCCTTTTTTCTTCCTATATATTTTCATGGCTTTCCTTCTGGCTTCATTGTATACTTGTCCTATAGTTTTTTGTTTGTTTGGCTTTCAACATGTCCATTGTTCCAATAAAGGAACACTAGGCATAAAATTCATAAATGGGTTAATTATTAATGTTTTGAATGAACACAAACTTTTCTTTCTTGATCATTTTTTTTTTAGATTAGTTTAAATACCTAAACAAAAACTGGCATTGTTAATTTTGATGTGCTCTCACCAGTAGTAGGAGTGTTCCAAGTTCATCCAAAAATAAAGCCCATTTTATTTTAGTACCTAGGCCTATAATAATTATTTTTTACAATTTCAGGATTTTAAGTACCCCTCTCCACACTTAGCCTACTGCTGTACACAGAGCTGTTGCTTGGGCCCTAAAACATCTGGGGCTTTATTGAGCCTTGAATTATGGGGCCCAGCCAAAGTTGTTATTGGCTATTGGAAAAAGTTAAACAATTGAATGCAGGGAGCACAACAGTGAAACTTGGCAAGGGTCTCCAAAAGTCACCCAACAGCTCTGGTTGTACAGTGTATAGTGTAGTGGGTGACTACGCCTAAATATATTTAACTTTAACTATCAGATTTATAAAATCTATTATCTATAGGCAGGCCTAAACCCAAATTTATTTTTAAAAATAATTTAAATAATAAATATAAGTAATCAATCAATAACAAATTACAGGTTACAGCGTTATAGTTATAGGCCCATGCTATGCCTGTAACTGTAAGCAAAGACTAGAAATGTTCACTATAGACTATTACTATGATATAGTAAACTATATATTATAATAACTAACTAAATAAGTATCAGTTAATAGGCTTACTACTTAGACTTAACTTTAACTTAATTTAATTAATAATTAATACTACAGACTACAGACATTACCCGGTATTGACTGCCATATTCCACTGACAAATCGGTATTATTTACTATGATACAAATACTAGGCTGATGATCGTTCTACTGTGAGCTATGACTGAAACGTGATGATAATAATCAATTGAATGTAAGTCCTGAGTTGGTAACTCGAAACTACTCTTTTTAGACTCTGGTCTCTGGTTACCTGGCCTGGACCTGGGTGGTAAAAATCGAAAAAAAACAACAACACATTTTATAATTTATAGGTTTTAATTATGAGGATTCAAGTTTAAACAAATGACTAAAATGCATTTCCTTCTTTTATTTTACACAGTATAATAATGCATAACATTTGCGCATAATTATTACCGAGTCTTACACTGTATAAGTATATTATATATAGAATTTTATTATATAGGCTACACTATTTATACTGTTGTACAGAACGCCAGTGAGTTTGACCTTTGGACTCAAATTATACAAAACCATAATCAAATGGTGAATAAAAGACTCAATTTACATACCAAATTTATTGTCATTGAAATAAATACAAGTATTTTTATAATTTTATTTGTATACAAGCATTGTATTGAAACCTAAATAAGGCGTTTAAAGGTTTTAGTGAGACTAACAAGATTATATTAATTATATTAATATTATATTAAAAGATTGTTTTGAACTGTTTCAAAACCATTGTACTTTTGCTTCATTGGCAATATTGGGTAAACAGTTTTTATAAATAATTACTTGTAAGGCCACTACAATATACAGGTCAATGAATAAAAAAGGCACACATTTATCTTTGGACTATGCACCTCTGAACTGTGAACTACATTTTTTATGTTACACGCCCTAAATACTCAATAAAAGAAGTAAAGATAGTTTAAGGGGTCATTTATAAACGAAGCCATGCACATAAAAGGGGGCGTCCATTAATTACGTCAAGAAAATAGGGGGGGGGGTTAGGGTTTCGGAAATGTTTGACAGTTGTAGACAAGGGGTAGGGAAGGGGTTTAGATTAGTTGACGTCAACAATAATTCTTTTTCTATTAAAATTTTAATATTAAATATTGACTGGTTCTTACATTATTTTGAACAACTTAATGCGTGTAGATAGTCATTATATGTTCAGGCTTTTAACAATATAAGATTTATTAAATGTGTGTCTGACTGTGCACGGCAGATTGCTGGTCAGAGTATTAGCACACTTTGTTACTGCAAGAGAAGTCAAAAGTTGGCATCTCGGCACCTGTCATTTTTCTCTTAATCCGCTCCCTAGAATGATTAACACATCATTGTACACAGTGTTCAATTTTAAAAAAAACACCAACTCATCTGTGTTCAATAACAACTATACCAACTCAAAGACAAGAGAGAGCTTATGGCAACTATTGCNCCCCCCCCCCCCCTGGATTGATTGGATACTTTTTTTTAGACAGAAATAGATAGTGTATTAAAGTAAAGAGAAAATAAAGAGAACGTAACTAAGCTGATGTCCTGTCCGTTCGTTCACCATAAATACGCTACAGTAAATTAAAACTACATTAAAACATTACTAAAAAAATTTTGCCCCCCCCCCCTAGAAAGTTTTCTGTGGGCGCAATATAAATGATATATATATTGCAGGAATACAATATTTTGAGAATTAGGTAAACGTAAAGTGAGTGACAATAATAACATCGCAGCTTGAACGGATTTGCAAAATCTGTAACATCTATTTTCCATCACAAGTCATGTTGAAAAAGCATCTTCAACAGAACCGACAATGCCTTCTTGAGCATAAGAAATTAGCACCTGCTCCTCAACAAAAAGGATTCGACCAATGCGAGTAGCTGCAAGAAGATAGAGAGAGCTTATGGTAATTATTACTCACACTGACATGCTTCTATTTTAAGTGCTGAATAGTTAGATGAGGATGATGTTGACTTGTCTGGTATATCAGTGTCGCAAGATGAAAATGATCAGTCAGCTACTATAGACTATGCCCATCAGGGGCATCATTTCATTTTTTTCAAGGGAGGGGGGGGGGGGGCAAAACCAAAAATTTTTGGCTTGTTGGGTTGCTTATTGCTGGAGGCGCCACAGTACATAAAAATTAAAAAAAAACCTGCAAATTAAGGGGTAGGGGCAAATGCCCCCCTCCCCTACCCAAANCATTGTTACGATAGAGCAAACCTGGCTACTCCTTGGAAAGATGATATCACCTAGAAACTATACTATAATTGTCAGCTTTACTGAGAATAATCATATTTATACCACAAACAATGCTATTTAGTCTGTTAAAACCTGTCAATTGATTCTGCATTATGAAATCTAAGAGTAAAAACTGCTTAACTTGTTGATTAACAAGCTAAAGATGTAATGAAATGTTTTTCCTACAATTTTGTTGTCATTAAATAGATCAGCATTTATAAATTTATTTATAATATAATTCCTTTGGGGTGGGGGGGGGGTGGCGGGTAAAAAATGTTGACATAATTAAGTGGGGTGGGGGTCATTGAATGTTTGATAGTTGTTGACAAGGGGGGAGGGGGTAAAAAATTGCTTAAAAATTGTTGACGTAATTAATGGACGACCCCAAAACAGGAAAGGGGGGGGGGCCTGGGGATGTCTACAGTGCACAGAGCTTTATAATAATTCTCTATCTATGCTACAGTGGCGTAGCTAGGGTAAGAGTCACCAGGAAATTGCCAAGATTTTTGCCACCAGGAAGAATAACTTCACAGTAGGGACCGCCCCTCCGCACCACGACCTACGAGAACTCAACAGTCCTCTAGTGGGTCATGCCCGCACCCCTTCCTACGCCACTGGATGTCCGCGAATATTTAATGGTGTTTTTTAAAGTGTCTACATTGTGTTACACATTTTTTGACGATTTTGGTGAATGTTGGTGGGGGTAAAAATCGACCAAAATGCTGTGATGTCATTTATGGATGACCCCTTAAATGTAATGATCCGTTTAAAAGATTAACAAAATGAACTTTTAACAAATGGTCATCAATTATATTATCGTTAACAAATGCTCATTTTTCATTACCCCTTCCCTCCCACAATTGTAATGCCCCATTTTTGCCAATTATGTCTGACAGCTCTGGTTGATTACTTAGTCTAATGAAATGCTTAGTCTAATCTAAGTCTTAGATTTCAGAAATTTTTGCATAAACTCCTACTCATTTGATGGGACTACCCTATTCTAGAAGATGTAGCCATATTTTGTGTGTATATATATATATATATATATATATATATATATATATATATATATATATATATATATATATTATGTTAAATTTAAAAATTGTGGGATAAATTATTAAATAGAAACAAAACTAAAAAGTAAAAAAAGTATTTGTTTTATGAAAATGTGACAAACATTGCGAAAAGATAATCATATATTTACATTCACCTTTATGTTTCTACATTCAACATGGCGATACCGTACAGACTGCGGTGTAATTTGACAGGTCATGAAAAAGATGTCCGTGTTCTAATTACATCAATATTTCCCGAAAATGGATTAATATCTGGTTCCAGGGATAACACTAGCTGCATATGGGTTGAAAATGAGTATGCTTTGTTCATTTAAATTTCAAAATTCTTAATGATAACTTAATGATAGTGACTTGACTTAATCAACTTAATGAATGAAAATGATAAAATAACAAATGATTGAAATGATATGTAAATGAATAACAATAATTTCAATAATAATGAATAATGTCAACACATTATATCAATAGTTTAATAATTTTAGTTTAGAATTATCTGGTTTTACTAAGGCAAGAGTAGCCTTAAGTCTTATAATTTTTATGACTGAGAATGATAACTGACAAATAGGCCTACCCTACACATAATTTTATTAAAATACAGTATTTACAAGAACTAGTACAAATGTCTAATTCCATTGGTTTAGATTGTTTTTAAATTTAGTTTTTTTCTTACAAATTAATTTATTTTAAAATTTTGCAAATCTGCAAATTAAATTAAATATAATTAAATTATTAGTTTTAAAAGATTCATGCACATACCGTATGTGCATACGCCGGCGTCGTATGTGACATACGATGATTTTGTTATCTACCATATGACAAATCTCACCAGGAGCTATAAAAACATTTCCTTGTTTACTTATTTATTAGAGGTGATAACAGTTTCCGGAAGGAACTTGTGATGAAAGGCCATAAGAACTTTGTATCCAGTATTTGTGTCATGCCACCTGATGACACTTACCCTGAGGGACTAATTGTTACTGGAAGCATTGACAAGAATATCCTAGCCTACAAGCCTGGTGTCCCAGAACCTGTCTATAAGCTGACAGGACACGAAGGAAATGGTAATGACTTTACCTGTAACCTTCTTAATGAATTTTTTCTAATATTTAAAATTATATTGCTCTGAAAGATCCAAGAAGATGGTTACATTTTCATAGGTGACTGCCACTTGAGATGTAGATCTGTACATATTCTAATGATAAAAACACATTCCGAGGAAATTGGATGCCATTTAGTCATTATAAAACATTGCTACAATTTTGATAAGTAGATATGAACTTAACATCTTAAAGTAATCATCAGAAGCTGTACATTCCATAAAATCAAAAAGGGGACATTTTTGTTTACATTTTCATCATAGGACTAAAATCTTTTTTTTTTTTTTTTGTGGATATCTTAGTTGCGTGCTAAAGTGCATTTACATAAGTTTAAAATTATTAAAAAAATAAAGTTGTTTGCTCTCTCAAATTCTTTGGGGAGTTCGGCAAAACTGAAACGGATCTCATTACTAAATCTAACTAAAGTTAGCATATGTCTGATGATTGTCATTAAAACTAAAATGTCATTTTTCAATGCCATTTTCATCATTTTCTATACTTTGAGCCCAGTAGATTTAAATTTATTTCATAAACCTGATCTGGTAAAATTTGAGCATAAATAGTCTATTAGACATGATTTCAGTGGCTTTAAATCATATACTATGAAGAGTTCTCAGTTTTATCATTGAAATGTTTGATATTTCTTTTAGTGTGTGCCTTGGCTTCAGGAAAGTTTGGATTTCTTCTAAGTGGATCCTGGGACAAAACTGCTCGGGTCTGGCTCAACCAAAAATGTGTTATGGAATTAAGAGGTAAAATTTATATTGTAGATCAGAGTTAATATTTACTGTTACTTGTGTTACAGTATTTAACTATAACAGCTGGAACATGGGGCTGGACCAAAGAAGATTTTAAAAATTTAACTGACTAAAAGTGAACCTAGAGTTGCTTAAATGATACATTTGTGGTGAATCAAAAATCTTTATATTAATTTTAAAAAATCAGAAATTGTATTGTTACTATCCAAGCTTCTGATGTAATGTAATAAATATAAAACTTAACGCATTTGAAGCATTCGATGGCAGGACAAGGTGCCTAAAACGGAGGTCTTGGAACGTGCACACTTGTTTAGCATATTCTCCTTTCTTACCAAGAGGGGCCTTCACTGGTTAGGCCACGTAAGGAGAATGGAAGAAAGCTGTATCCCAAAGATGCTGCTGTATGGAGAGTTGGCAGAAGGGACAAGACTTATTGGAAGGCCACGTCTGAGATTTATGGACATTTTCAAAAGGAGCATGAGGGAAGCCAATATTGAAAACAAAGAATGGGAGCTCATTGCAGAACAACGTTCCAGCTGGCGAACAGCAGTGTATGGAGTAAAAAAGGCAGAAGATACGGGGAAAGAGGGACAACAAAAAGAACAATACGGAAGTCAAGATCTTACCAGAAATCAATATTCTCCTGCGAGAAATGCAGTCGATGTTGTCATTCTAGGATTGGCCTAGTGATCCACTCGTCGAAGTGTAGGACTACATAGCTACTCCATCGTCTCGCGAAGATGGAAGGATGCCATATATAAAACTTTATCATTTTTTTTATAAGTTTATAAATGGATTAATTATAAAATAAAATAAGTAATTGTGCATGTTTCTGTACATAAAAATGTATAAGATGCATTAGTTTAAAAATAAAGGGATCTTTTAAATTTTTGAATGAGTTTGTCATCCCACCACCTCCCCCTCTCCACNCCTTTTTTTTTTTTCCTCCCATTTTTAAAATATTTATTTTACTGACCTTAGAATTTGAAAGTATTTTTATGTATGGACTACACCTTAATGCTGTCCTCATTTAGGGCACGAATTGGCTGTGTGGGCTGTGGGGATTATATCAGGTCAAGGTTTAATGCTGACAGGATCTGCTGACAAAACCATCAAGTCCTGGAAAGCTGGCAAATGTATACAGACCTTCAAAGGTTTGGATTTTTTCATTAGGATGCTTTTATTTTGGATATGTAAATTAGGCAATAAATTTTTGTTTCACTATATGTATATACACACATGTTTCTTTTTCTTAAGTGAGTTAAAATCAAATTAACATTATAATTATAAGAATAAAATAAGTGGAAACATTTTTTTAGTAACAATTTGAACAACTTAATTTCAGGCCATGAAGACTGTGTACGGGCAATTGCAGTAATAAGTGAAGGAGAATTTCTATCTTGTTCAAATGATGCCACTGTACGTCGCTGGGCAGTAAACTCAGGGGATTGCATTGCAGTTTACTTTGGACATACAAATTATGTATATGCGTAAGTGTCTGAAATGTTCAAATGTTATTTCTGCTGTGTTTTTATGTTTAAAGACTTTGAAAGACATCAGTCCTTACGATAAAATTGAATGTGTAATAAAATATTTTTTTTATTCACAACAAATTATTCAGGTAATAACAAAAGTAACATTGTACTTTATATAATTCCTCACATTTAATTTTATAAAATATCTATCAACTTGTTATTTTAACAAAGAAAACTTAAATTTTTTGCCTTTTTTTTAACAGCTCAAATAATTTCACAAGACTTGTTACCACTTCATTTATTCCACTTTAGTTTATCAATCCTCCCAAATGGTCAAGACTTTATAACTGGAGGGGAAGACCGAACAATGAGGGTGTGGCGAGATGGAAAGTGCGTCCAGAGCCTTTACCATCCCTGTGAGTCAGTCTGGGCTGTTTGTGCACTCCCCAATGGAGACATCGCCTCAGGTTCAAGGTAAAGTTAGTTTTGATCCAAGATATTGATTGTAATGTCCAGCAATTTTTCTCTTTGAGGGTATAATGAAAACTTGAAGACTTGAATGTCTTTCTAATAATGTTCTTGTCTGCTTAATTCTTACCCACTTAAACTTGTATTTGTCTACTCCTTGTCAGTGATGGAATGATACGAGTGTTCACTCAAGCCTCAGAACGAGTGGCCAGTGCAGAGATCCTGGAAGCACATGAAGCTGCTCTGGCCACTGCGCCCGTTTCAAGTCAACCACTGGGTGATATCAAAACTGAAGATCTGCCTGGTCCAGAGAGTCTGAAGAAACCAGGTAATACTGGCAACTTGTGAGTTAAAAATAGAAACGGCTAACAACTTAATAGTTAGATACAGAAACAGTTAACAGTAAAATTAAATGGTGCCAAAGTCTTAATACTTTTTGTTTTTGTTTTCCCTTTTGTCCTAGGTAAAAAAGATGGTCAGACAACAATGGTGAATACAGGTAGTGGCGTAGATGTGTATCAGTGGGATGCGAGCCAAGCCAAGTGGGTGAAGATAGGAAATGTTGTTGGATCCAGTGGAAGCACACAGAGCACTTCTGGAAAGACTTTGTTTGAAGGGAAGGTTTGTATAGCTGTATTTATTTGTGTTCAGTTGATGGGTTCAAATGGTAAATACCAATTTGAAGAAAATACCATTTGAAAAGGCAAAAAGACCTGTCATATAGAAAGTGTCATTACATTTTGTATCTCTGTTAGCACATTTAGGATTCACCTTCAAAGCCGATCATGAACATCTTGAGATAATCCAAATAAGATTTTTAAAATTTAATTAATGAATAGTCTTCCTACCAGTGTTTAGAGGTACACAATATTAGATATTTCCAAATCTTCTCATCCTTCTAATCTTTGGCTTTTGTTTTCCCAGGAATATGATTATGTCTTCACTGTTGACATCAAAGAAGGTGCTCCTCCGTTGAAACTGCCCTACAACATATCCGAAGATCCCTGGATGGCTGCCCAGCAGTTCCTCTACAAACATGAACTGTCTCAGTCATTCCTTGACCAAGTAGCTTACTTCATTATTGAGAACACCAAAGGGGTCACTCTAGGAACTGGCTCTGCCTTGGCCCATTCAGACCCTTTTACTGGTAGGCTATCTTGTACTGGAATTATAATAATACTAATGCTATATCAGATTGTGATATAATAATAATGATATATAAAATAGTAAGATTTGCTACTACACCTTTATAATGTCACAGTTTACAATAAAGTTTTGTTATTGTTGATGCAAAAAAAAAAAAATAAAGTTGATTTTGTTCATATTGTTTCAAAAGATACCAACCTACAACAAACCACAATAACCCACAACAACCTACAACAACCAATTTTGTTGGTGTGTACACAAGCACATTAATAATTTCTTGAACGAATTTGAAGTTATTAATGTTGTATTTTTTTCTGACAATTATTTTATTTTTGTTGTTCAGGTGGGGACAGATACATTCCAGACAAGGATGAAGGCATAAATACCCCCATGGATGTATCAGATCCATTTACTGGGGCAGGGAGATATATACCTGATGGTCAGTACACAATGTTCTCATCAAGCAATTCAAGAACATTATTTACATTTTTTTTTGTTATTCTCCGTTCAAGATTTATTTAAATTAAAATGTTCACTTTATGTTGTATGGTCCCTTTCAATAAACTGGAATGAGGAATGAATGACTTAGAAATAAACTATAAAATGTCTCATCAATTGAAATGCCATGGATGATAATTTTACTTTGACAATCATGTTCAACACTGGTCAATGAATCAAATCCTATTAACTCTATTCATCACACTTAAAATAGACATTTTTATATTTTCTTAATTTAATTTTTTTGTTTAACTGACTTAACTTTTGCTCTTAGGTCAAACCACTACTGCTGCCAATGTTTCCAATAGTCACTTTCCTGTCAAGACATACATATACATGGATTCTGCTAGCTCTGCAGAGCAGATATTAGGTACCTAGACTTTTAATTCCCTTACCTGTGTTCTTAAATGTCTAGAGGGAGTTTTTATTTTAAAGGTTTGAACATTTTATGTGATTCAATGAGTAGTTTTAATGTTCGTTTTAATTGTAAATGGCTAAAATTACTTAAAACACAACAAAAATTTGTTAGAATATTTTGTAATGGTAGTTTTTTTTTAAAGGCTAAAATTACGTAAAACACAACACAAAAGAAGCTGTGCTTAAAATAAGAATAATTTTTGTTCAGTCATTATTCAAAGTATTTTATTAAAAAGATGTCAAAGTTACTTACCAATAAACTTTTATTATAAATTTGTATCTACCATTTACTGAAAATCCAGGTAAATTAAAAGAATTTAACAAGTCTGTGGAGCCTGATGCCCAGGTACCCGACCAATCGTTAGAAAGCTTAATTCCTTTGATGTCAGGCCAGTCCAGTCCAGAGGGGGTTAAAATCCTAGAGAAGCTGATTGCATGGCCTCCAGGTACGTGGAGACAACTTTAAGCATATCTTCTACAAATGATACCTTGACAGGAATAGAATTTTTGATGGTTTTGTTGTCATGCTAAGTATTATTTCATAAATGTTTGGAAGAGAAGTAGTAATATAGAATGTGGTCATGTGTTCAAAAGGTCTAATAAGTATATGCATAAATAAATCTCCACTGATCAAACCACTTCTTATATAGGTTAAAGGTAATTTCTATCCTGATATTCCCATATGCTTGTTTGTTTGGTTGGGAATTACTTTCGAATGCTGATATCTTTAGTTAGTTCAGATATTTGTTACACAGTTCAGTGGTAAAGAAGTCATTAAAAATTCGGTGCAGTCTATAAAATTTCCATAAATGGTACAATACTTGATGATGTGATATTACTGTTACATCCTGCGTAACAATCATTTACTCAGCAAAGTAACCTTTAAGAAATAAAGTTTTAGCCTAACATTTCAAAACCATTTTAATGATCAAAACTTGAAATTATCCATACAATATAACACTTATAATTTTTTTGTCCTGTATGAAAGATGTATATTGTGCATGGAATATGTTTACAAAAAAAACACCTGGTAATATTGTCTTCCTGAACTTTTAATATTTTTTTTTAACAGAATTTGTTTTCCCGGCATTAGACATTTTACGAATCAGTATAAAAAACAGTGCTATTTGTTCACTCTTCTGCCAACGGCCAAACTTCATCGACTTGTTGTGTCAACATGCCAGCCAGGGTAACAGCCAGCCGTGCCGCATGTTAGCTATGCGCACATTCGCCAACCTTTTCAGATACCCTGATGGAACATCTCTGAACATTCAGCAAATTGACGCCATCCTGCAGTCGGCAATCAACGGCAAGGATCTCACCACAAAAAATGCCCAGGTGGCTGTGGCAACGGTTATTCTCAACTACTGTGTTAAACTCTCAAGTCTAGATGACCTGGAAAGCAAGTCCAAATGTCTGCAGGCTGTCGGTGAACTGTTGAGCACTGAGCTAGATCCTGAGGCCTCATATCGTTTGCTGATAGGCGTTGGAACATTGGTGACAGGGGACGATGGCTGCAAAGCTTTGTCTCACTCCATCGACTTGCCAGCGATGATCTCCAAGTTTGTCAGCTCTGAAACGGGCAAGCTGGTGGAGTGCTCCAAGCTGCTCTCTCAAACATTGTCCAGTTGATAGGTAGAACGGTGCTGGCTTTAGTTAACACATGTCATCTAATCCTGACCCACACTGCTTAATCACTTACAAAGCCACTGTGTTTTGTTCATGTTAACTTTAGTAAATTACACAGGACGCTAAGGTAGTAAGAATAAAAGTTATGAAAAATGAGCAAAAAATATAGTAAGCCCTCTAGAAGGATTATTTAAGAAATAAAATATAGTATTAAACTTTTGTCTTTTCCATTTTAGTAATAAGATTTCAAATTGCGAGATGACAAACTTTGGTCACTTGGTAGACTTCTAAAATATTCTGGACAATTAAAATGTGTAAAAAACGTCCTTGGTTATTTTATTATTTAAAATGTTATTATTTTATCATCATTATTATTTAGCATTTAAAGTGAATAAAATAAGGAAAATGTAGCAAAGAATTGCATCAATTTGATTTGTGCCAACATATTCCGATATAAATTAATGTAAGTGAATAATTGGGAGTTTCACAACTAGTTCATAAGATGTTCATACAATGGATACGAAGTAAAAGCCTACCAATATTTTTCTCATATGAATCGAGTCGTGCTGACATATCTTTCAATGTTTCAACAAAGATATGTCTAAAATTTACTAATTTAAGTATTAACAATTTAACTCATTAAGTTGCTTGCATAAAAATACAATCAAACGTTGTTAATGAGAACTAGTTGGTGTCAGAAGCCATTCCACTCGCCCAATATTTATTTTGTTGGAGTGAAAAAAGTTAATTTAAAAAAATGTTTTCAAAACCTTTGCACAGCCCAACAAATGCTGATCAACATATGCTGGAAATCAGCAAACTTCAAAAGTCTGGCAATAACTAACATGTTTGAACATGATTTACAGGATCTTTAAATAAAAATTTTTATATTAAGAAACATATTTATTAATCATTTCTATGTTATAAATTAACACCAGGACATGTCTGATGTGTTGACAACTCCAACACAAAATAGATTGAATTGAACTGTAAATACTGCACTGATGAGATCCTACTTTTACAATGGACTGGTTGTCTAAATTAAATTCTTTTTGAGATCTGGAGCCATACAATGAGGCCATGATTACATTGTGGAGGCAGACACTGAGGCCATGATTACATTGTGGAGCAAAACAATGAAGCTATGATTACATTGTGGAGCCAGACAATGAGGCCATGATTACATTGTGGAGCCAGACAATGAGGCCATGATTACATTGTGGAGCCAGACAATGAGGCCATGATTACATTGTGGAGCCAGACAATGAGGCCATGATTACATTGTGGAGCCAGACAATGAGGCCATGATTACATTGTGGAGCCAGACAATGAGGCCATGATTACATTGTGGAGCCAGACAATGAGGCCATGATTACATTGTGGAGCCAGACAATGAGGCCATGATTACATTGTGGAGC